CTTCGATCAACTTGGCATCTACTGTTGCTGCTGCTGCTGCTGGTGCTGCTGGTGGTGCTGCTGCTTCGGCCAATTTAACACCTGCTGCCAGTGCTACAGGTGCTGCTTCGACCAATTCAACACCTGCTGCCACTGCTGTTGCGAGTGAAAGTGGCACTTTGAGAAGGAAACTTCTGATGAGGGTTCGCAGTGCTGATGAGAAGATTCTTTATTCGCCCCAGGGGTTGCAGCTGCAGCGCTATGTGCCTCAGGGGTTGCGAGCTCTGGTTCGGGGTGGCAGTGCGGTGGAAGCAGCTGGGGCGGCCGAGCGTCGGGCAGAGATGCATGGGCCCAAGGGCGAAAGGCGGGCAGCGAAGCATGGGTCAGCGGGTGAAAGGAGAGCAGGTGGGAGGTTGTTGCGTGGGAGAGAGAGCGATCAACGGAGAAGCAGCGACGGACGCTCTTCTGCTTCTGGTGGTGGTGGTGCTGCTGGTGGTGGTCGAGTGCGTGGTTTTGGGAGTGTGCTCGATTTCTCTGGGCTCCCTCCCCTGTATGCTCGCGCTGCTGACCTCACCCCTGCGTCATCCTGTCCCTCCGTTACCACACTCTCTCCTGCCATCACCCGCACACCATCACCATCACTATCACCAGCACCAGCACCTGCACCCCGACCACCAACACCATCACTCCCAGCATCATCCTCAGCAGCAGCACCAGCAGCAGCACCAGCAGCAGCAGCACCAGCAGCAGCAGCAGCAGCAGCAGCAGCAGCAGCAGCAGCCCCAGCAGCAGCAGCAGCAGCAGCAGCAGCACCGGCAGCAGCAGCGGCTCATGAGCCAGTGACTGTTGGGGAGAGGTTGAGCGTGCTTGCAGGGAAGCGGGTGATGGTGGTGGATGACAACGTGGTGAACCGCAAGGTGGCCAGCAAGCTGCTGGAGAGGCACGGCGCGCGAGTCACCGCCGTGGATGGCGGCATGAAAGCCGTAGACGCCCTCGCCCCGCCCCATCCTTACGACCTCGTCCTTATGGACCTGCAGATGCCGGGCATGGATGGGCTGGAGGCGACTCGGAGGATCCGAGCGCGGGAGAGGGCTGAGGGCGGGGGGCATGTGGCCATCATTGCGCTCACAGCGGATGTGATTGCCGGCACGCGCCAGCAGTGCTTTGCCGCCGGCATGGATGACTACCTCTCCAAACCCCTCGAGGAGCCGCAACTCTCCCTCGCCGTCTGGCGATGCCTCGCGAATACATGACATGATCATTCATACCGTCTCCCAGCAGAGTGATCAGGGCACTGCGCGGTATACCCAGTCTTCGGGCGATATTTTATATGTTCTATTATGCGCATGTTAGCCTCTACTACGTATGTGGTCTATTATGCCCATGTTAGCTTCTATTTATGCAGAATTCAAAATGCTGCTATAAATTTCTCTCAGCATCCCGTCCCGACAACCTTCAGGTTGCCTCGACATCTGAGAAATCTCCCATGAATCTCCATGAAAGAGTTTTCAGTATAAACGTTTTAGAATACCGGTATGGGTCTGGTTTGCTGTGATATCATACAAGGCGTAGGAGTATCGAGTGTGTCTCCTGATCTGTTCTGTACGTTCTAAGGGCGTGTAACCATTTTGATTTTTGGCTTTTTTACGGACTGTCCGATTTTTTTTTGAAACGGACAGTCCCAATATTGAGAATGGAGCCGTCCGTATTGACGTTTCGGAACTTTGGCCGTCCGGATGGAGAAGTGACACTTTTTTCGAACTGTTTTTATTTGCGATCACTGTAGCCTCGTTAGAAACATTGTATCTTCGTAACTCTGCTCGCTACTTGTCGCGGTAACTTTTCGTTAGCCAATCATTACAGGCAAATAAAAATAGTTCTCGCACGCCAATCTCTGGCCAGGACCGCTGGACCGTCCGTTTGAATTTCGGACTGCCTACGGTTCACATTTCGAACCGTCGAAAAGTAAAAAGTGTCACGACGGTTCGAACTGTTGGCGACGTCGCAAAGGCTTCAACGAACAGCTTAACGACATTATGCGATGTTAGTAACCCGTCGCTGACCCGGACGGTCTACTGTCCGAACAGTCCGGGTTTTAATGGTTACACGCCCTAATCCTCTGATCCGAACCGACCCGAATCCCCGATCATCCGACCGTTCATGTGCAGGCTGCGCGTGCGAGGCTATTGTAGGCTGTTGTGTGCGTCTCTGTGGTGCGGTGCGGTGTCTTTGAATGTGAAATGGTTTCTGAAGCAGGCTTGCTGCTGGTTGCGGTGCAGTGCAGTGCAGTGCTACGTTGTCGTGCATGCGCACCCTCCGCTGGTTTTGTGGATGAGGTGAGCTGCAGAGAAAATTACTGTACAGTAGGGGGCACTGTGGGTTTGTTTGCGCGAGTACAGCGCGGTGGTATGCTGGAGAATTCAATGCGCCAGTTCGGTGCCTTTGACTTACGAGAACATTTTCCAGTTGCCCTCGCAACCATAAGCCTCTGAAAAATGCATCCCGTTCCACAAAGCGTATCCCTTTCAGCGTTTACTGTAGTTTGTTCTTTAGCTGACTGTTCTTTAGAATCAGGAATTGGGCATGCTCGGAGAAGTCTAGGGCCCAGTTCGGCCCAAAACATTGAGTTCGTGTTCGTAGGGATGACATGTCAACAAGAGCGTGTCAACCCGAAGCGCTTTCGAGCTAGAGTGTCAAATACTGTAGTTGTAGTGTCAAGTCGAAGCGCATGTGCGAACATCAGCGACGCAATGCTATTGGTTGGAGAACTAGTCATTTGTGGGTCAATAGGCATTGAACGAATCGAAGGAAAGATGATAGGGGAAGGTGTTTGCTGATTGGACAATGCCTGGTCGCGAGATATGCAGCTGCGACTCTCTTCTCTCGTTTGTAGGTATGATTGTGCCAAAACAGGAAGTGTCCGACGATATGTATTGGCTGGCAACCTGCAATTTCTTGACACCCTGCCAACAATGTTGGCTGAGTGTCAAAATGCCAAATTGACACTGCCCATTTGACATGTCATCCCTACGGACACGACCTGAGGCAACGGTCCCAAAACCCACCCCACCCCCCAGACATTACAGAGCAGTGCAGAGAGTTCTTCCTAGTCTAATTATAAAACAAGTTCCTACAACGGCAAGTTCCTACAAGTTCAACTTGAAACATGTATGACGTCAAGTTCCTACAACCTTATCTTGCTTCCCCATGGCGGCCACAGGTTCAAGGACCAATTCGTGAAGGCCATTGTACAGGACGTGTAGTGCAAAAGCTTGTTTCTGCAGAGCAGAAGCTCGCAGCCTGGTTTTCCCCGACCAATTCGTTTGGCCTTGTTTTCTGTTGTTGAAGACCCGTCACGAGTGTTATTAGAGCTACGTTCCATGTCACCTGTTACAGTAATACGGCGACGACATGGATTGCACGGGAATGCCGGCTTCCATGGGCCGTCGGGACGGGTTTCGAACCCTAAGCGAAAGCAGTTCCGTCTTTACAGACACCATTCCGGAGGAAACGGCGAATTTCAACAACTTAGCTTACGAAGTCAATCGAACGGCGTCGTGTAACGAGGATATCGAAGTGGAGGAGGATTGCGAGGAGTTACTACTTCATGCGGGGCAAGATGAGGCTTACGAGGGGGTCGGGTGCTGTCCTTCGCTGACCTACAGCAGCTTAAAGCCACGGCAGAAACGCCGGCTACTACCTACAGAAACTACAAGAAAATCCGCCTTCGATCCCTCTTACAGTGACGCGTCCCCGTGTCATGTCTCGTGCACGCCGACACAGGCCGCAGCAGGCTCGGAAGAAGGTTACCGCAATTCCTCCGCTGTCGCCACGTCCTCGCGTCGTGACTCTAACGCGCCGAGATCCCCTGGAGCTGCATTGTCGTGCTTCCGCGCCAATGGGAGTGGCACACGCGGAACGGCCGAGGAAAACGATATTTGGGAGAACGAGACGGAGGCGGCGGGAGAAGAAAGAGCAGAAGACGCAGGGGAGAGTGAGATTGACGACAGGAATGATTCTATTCTGGAAGATGATGAGGAGCATGCATCTGATCATGATGAGGAGCATGCGTCTGATCATGATGAGGAGCATGCATCTGACAATTATGGGGGGCATGAGACTGATGTTGGCCGGGGGTATGATGATGAGTTTGATGGCCGGGGGTATGAGTTTGGCCCTGAGGAGGAGGAGGCGGGGGGAGCTATGCTCGAGGAATCGGAAAAGGCCACTATGCAGGAACTATCCATGGCGGGGGTTGCGGAGGAGGCGGCAAAAGGGCAGCAGTCATGGGTGTCGAGCGTGGAGTGGTTCGTGTCGTGGCCGCTCAGACGACTCAGCCACCCGTGGCGCAAGGTATGCTGTTCATATTAACACGTGAGTGGCGTGTGTGTGCGTGTGTTTGTGTTGATAAAGCCGTTGAGTTTTGAGAAAAACCATCCAGCTGGGGTGCATGGTACGGTGTGAATAGCACCGCAAGGCTGTGGTGACCGGGAAAGCTACCGCGCCTAGTGCCCTGGTTCGTGCGCGCCATGCGTGCATTGGCTGTGAAAAAAAAAGAAAAAGAAAAAGAAGAGAGGACTTTTAATTCTCAGGTCTGGGAGCGTTGAGACGTCTCAAAAACCTCCCATGGCCTGGTTAAGGCATCGGTTCTTTCCAGGGGTGGCTGGGGGTGGGCGTTCCGACGCGCGCTCGTGTACACAACAGCATGAAAGCACTCCACTCCAACCACACGGGATAGGAGGGAAGACACGCAGAGTAACGTGCCTCTTAGAATCCCCCATGCGGTCACCCTCCCATCCCATCCATCCGACACCCCCCACCCTCCTTCCCTTCCCCCCTGCCAGCGAGTGCTGTGGCTGTGGCTGCTGGTGGCAGCGGCTATCCTGTCGCTCGTGTTTGCGACGGCGTGGCAGCATGCCAAGACGAATGAGAGGGACGACCCAACCCACAGAGCCATGTGCGTCTCTGCTTCCTCCCCACTCCCCTGCCTCCCTCTCCCACCCCGATCACCCCCCTCCCAGCGTGTGCTGTGGGTGTGGGTGCTGGTGGCCGCAGCCATCCTGTCGCTGGTGTTTTTCATGGCATGGCAGCATGCCAAGACAAACGAGAGAGACGACCTGGAGGGGCACTGCGATGAGTGGGCGGCGTTTATCGGAGCCAAGTTCAACACCACCGCTGCCAACACACGCTCCATCTCCGATTTCATCCGCGCCTACTACATCGATAAGTACGCACGGCCGCGAATCTCTCTCATTGATTCTCCCAGTGCCGCGGGTCTCTTAAGCTGCCAACACGCGTTTGTTTCTGCCTATTACCTCGATAAATAAGTGAGGCCTGGTTAGGGCAGGGCAGGCCCGGCACAGCACCTGTTTTCCTTGCTTCTCCCTGTGCTGCGAGTTTCTCTATGCGCCTCAGAGGCACTGCGAGGGGGAATTAGTGGGCTGCGTTTCATTGGTGCCCACTCGTCCCCCTCGTGTGAATCCTGAACACCGCGGAATCCTGAAGCGTCGCAAATCAACAAGTGTTTCTCGCCAACTTTGCCCTTCCCCCCACCGACCTTACCCCACTCATATCACCGCCGCCATACGTCCCCCCTGGCAAGCAGCATGAAGGTCCAACGCTTCACTGAAGCTACTCTTGACAGTCGAGAGTGGGCGGCGTTTATCTGCAATGACCTAAATATATGTTAGCATTTTTCCCTCCCCTCCCCACCCCTGGCAAGCAGCATGAAGGAGGACTTTCATGACTTGGTGAAATTCCAACGGTTCACTCAAGCTACTCTCGACAGCCGACCCATGGCGTCATGTGAGTTGCATGTGGTTCGTCCCCATGGCGCCATGTGAGTTGCATGTGGTTTGACCCCATGGTGTCATGTGACTTGCATGTGATTTGACCCCATGGTGTCATGTGACTTGCATGTGGTTTGACCCCATGGTGTCATGTGACTTGCATGTGGTTTCCCCCACTTTCCCCAACTCCCCACTCCTCCCCCGCCCTCCTCCTCTTCTTCCCCCACCCCTCACGGATTCCCCGTTTTCTTCCCCCTCCCCTTTCAACCACTTCTCCCTCCTCCCCCTCCCACCCTTCTTCACCCTTTTGTGCCACCCTCGCTCTCCTGTCCCAATCCGCCCCAAGAAAGCCTCTGTCCACCCGCCAGTTCCTCCGCCTCCCCCACTGAGTTTTTCATGTTCCCCATGCGTGTGTATGCCAGCTATGTTGCGAAAGACGCGTCCTGCGTCTTGGACGCATGCGTCAAGACGCAGGACGCTGGATCAGGACCAGTAAGACGCACCAAAAGACGCAAGCCCGGGCAGGGCAAAAAAACCCTCCGGGCAGGCAAAAAAAGTTTATAGGGCATGGGAAGAGAGGGGCGGGGGGAACGTTCCACACTTTCACGGCAAATTTGGCCCCAACAACATAATTTTCCCCCAAATCTCAAGATTAAGGTGAGTCAAGCTACTAAGCTAAAACCTCTAGGGTTTTCGAAAGAGAATTGGTTGGGTGGGTACAATGAGAAAGAACAAATGACTAGGATGCATTGTTAAATGGGCTTGGTGGTGGGCCACTCACAAAGGTTGGGTTTTCTAGATGTGAAGTGGTTGAGAGGTTTGTGAAATTCAAATCTGGTTGAAGGGGTATGAAATGTCGAATTGGGCAAGGGGGGGTCAAAATTTCGCGATTTCGACAGTCGCGTCGAAATTGCGAATGTGAATTTCGCGATCTGGAATTTTTTTATCCGGGCAGCCCGAAAAAAATCAGATGTGCGTCCTGCGTCTGGACGCGCGTCCTGCGTCCGAGCGTCCAGACGCTGCGTCCAGGCGCAGGACGCAGCGTCCCCCCAGCGTCTTTCTCAACATAGTATGCCACCCACCCACCTGCCCACTCACCCACTTTGTTGCGTGCAGTCGTGGCGTTCACTCTCCTCGTGAACAACTCGTTCATCCGAGCCAGAATCGAGAAGATCGCTGGCCACTGCTTCTACGGGCTCGAGCCTAACGGCACCGTGGCGTGCCGCCCACATGGGCTGCCCCTGTACGCGCCTCTGCTGGTGTTCAATGCACGAAAGGACTACAACCCACGGCTGAGGCCCGCTGTTGCTGGATGCTGCTACGACATGCTGGATGGTGAGTGGATTGTGAGCGTAATGATTCACTGAGCCATCGACTCAGCCTCCTCCGTCATGTCTCCAACAAATCTCCGGGAATCATGAATCACTCCAATCCACTCCACCCTTTCCTCCTTCATCACCGCCTCCCACCCCCTCCCACCCCCTCCCAACCCCTCCCAACCCCTCCCACCCCCTCCCATCCCCTCCCACCCCCTCCCACCGCCTCCCACCGCCTCCCACCCCCGCCTCCCATTGCCTCTCTCAGACCAAGGAGTGAGCGACATGATCCATCGGGCCATCAATTCAGCTGCGACCGTCATGTCTCCGCCCTTCATGCGCGAAAACTATCCCTACCACTTCATCAGTCACGTCTTCCCAGTCTACTTTAACCGCACCACCTTCCCCCTGCCTCCCTCGCCCTCCCCTCCGTCCATTGCCATCCCTCCGCTCGCCACTCCTGGCCCTGGGGTGCTCCCACGAGGGTTCGTCGTCGCGGGGTATAACTTTGAAAACCTGCGGTCCCTTGCTGGGTTTCAGCAGCTTGTGGAGCTGGAAACGAGGGTATATCTGGTGGATGGGACGAGGGGCGGGGCGTGGGATGGTGCGCGGAATGGAAGTGCACGGAATGAGGACGGAAAGACTGGTAGATGGATGCCTGCATTGCTATTTGACCATGAGGGGGTGGTGGGTGAGGAGGAGATTGGTGCATGGATGGTGGATGGGGAGGAGCAGCAGCGGGGGAGAGTGAGGCGGGAGGTGCAACTGGGAGATCCAACAAAAACGTTTTATATTTTTTGCGAGTAAGTTGATGAGTACATACGAATCAACACACATGCGTAAGTTGATGAGTAAGTTGTATAGATGCATACGAATTGCACGCATGCGTTGGTCCATGGATCTGCGAAACTTCGCATACATGCACACACACATGCACGCACACACGCACGCACGCACGCACGCACGCACGCACACACGCACGCACGCACGCACGCACGCACGCACGCACGCACGCACGCACGCACGCACGCACGCACGCATGCATGCATGCATACATACATACATGCATGCACATTTACAAAAAAAAAAAATCTATCAACTCTTGCCATTCTAAATAAACACCATGACATCATACCAATTTCCTAGCCTCTGTAATCCAACTCTCCGCATCCTCCCTTTCCACCGTCCCCCCTCGCATGCCCCCTCTTCCCCGTCCCTCCACCCATCCTCCGTCCTGTCACAGGCACATCTCATTCACCAGGCCATTCGGTCCGTTCCTCTGGATAGTGGTCGCGGTTCTCTTCCTCACGGTCTCCACCTTGCTCCTCTGGACATGCATTCAACTTATGCACGCCTTTGAGTGCGACTGTCAGCAGCTGTCAGCAGCACAGCACGAGCTGCGCGCTGCACGAGAGGAAGCCGAGGCGGCGAGCCGGGCCAAGGGCGACTTCCTCACCACCATGAGCCACGAGATCCGCACTCCCATGAACGGCGTCATAGGTAAGTGGCTTTGGAGACGCCTCAATGGTAAGAAAATTAACATTTCGTTTATTTGTTTGGGACACCATGGGTTCTCTCTTGGTGCTGTGCTTTAGGCCAGTAGAGAAATCTAAAAGGTTGATGTCTATGTGACGGAAGACGCAAGACGCGTCTTGCGTCTAGCGTCTAGACGCATCGTCTAGACGCTAGACGCTAGACGCGCGTTTAGACGCTAGACGCTTGGGGGAAAATTTTTCGGGCAGCCCGAAAAAAAAATTTCCGCGGGCGAAATTGAATTTCGCGATTTTGATGCGAAATTCAATTTCGCGTCATTTGCACCCCCCCCCACCCATTTCGACCTTAGATTCAAGCCCCCCAAGCAAAATTGAAATTTCCTCAACCAAAATTGAAAACACAAACCCCTCTCAACCGCAAAGCATCTAGGAAACCCAACCCTTAATCGCAAACCAGCAAGGGCTTGGGAAGCACAAATCCCCCATTTGTGCTTCCCATCTTTCATTTCTAGCCAATTCTCTTTCAAAAACCCTCTAGGGTTTAGAGCTACTTACCTCTTGAAGCCATGTCTTCTCCTAGTTCTTCTAGTTCCGCCTCCTCCTCGCATGACGATGCCGTGGGGAAGGCAAGTTCCGCGCATGTTTCCAAGGAGGGTAGTTCCGCGCATGGTTCCAAGGAGGGTTGTTCCGCGCGTGTCTCTAAGGAGATGGAAGGAATTACGAAGGAGAAAAGGATGCCCGACCACCCGATCTACAAGCATTACTTCTACTTTAATGATCCAAAGAAGAAGGGCGACCAAGTGGAGTGCGAGTATTGCAACAAGACTTTCGCTTGGAGTAGTAGCCGTTGCCCCGAGCACCTCGCCGAGTGGCACGATCCCCACCGGCGGCGCAAGGCGGGAGTGGTTTGCAAGCATGTGCCGAAGGAGATTTCGAAGGAGATTCGCGAGATGTTCGAAGCGAAGGTTCGCGCGCGCAACCAAAAAGCGAAGGCGACGGAAGCGGCGCTCGTTGCGGTGAGCGGCAAGAGCTCGGCGGGAGGGAGGGGGAACAAGCGCGGGCGCATGGAAGATTTCTACGGCGAGGGTGGCGTCGTGGCAAAGAAGGCGGCCGACGAATCGATCGTCCTCTACCTCGCGGGGACGCGCACATCAGAGCGCCAGTGCGAGCACCCGCTCTTCCTCAACATGTTGCGCGCCGTCGCCGCAGCCGGCCAGGGATATGTCCCCCCCAAGCGGCACTACGTCGGAGGCGCCGGCCTTCAAGACTGCAAGCTGCGGATTGAGAAGGCGCTGTCGCCCGTGACGAAGTCGTGGAGGGAGACAGGCGTTACCATCGCCAGCGATATGATGCAGGACGTGAGCGGCCGGGCGCAGATGAACGTTATTTGCATCAACGACACTGGAGCTGTCTTCGTTGAGGCAGTTGACTGCAAGGCTGCGACGAAGAGTGGCAAGTTCATCGCTGGCGTCCTGCGGCCGATCATCGAGCGCATCGGGGCAGAGCACGTCGTTGCGCTGTGCACGGACGGCGGCAGCAACTACAAGCGTGCTGGCAAGCTGCTGCAGAAGGAGTGTCCGCATCTCGACCTAGTTCCCTGCGCCACTCACGTGATGGACCTGCTGATGGAGGACATCGGCAAGATGGGCTGGGCGCAGCTGGTCGTGGCTCAGGCCGACGATATCATCAGCTTCGTGCGCGCGCACCAGTGGACGCGGGCATTTCTGCGGCTCCCGGAGCTGCACGGCGAGAAGAAATCGCTGCAGGCCCTGAAGCCGGCAGGCACGCGCTTTGGAACGCAATACATCGCTGTGTCTCGTCTGCGCGCCATTCGCCCCCAGCTGCAGGCGATGGTGGCGCACAAGGACTGGGCGGAGAAGGGGGGGAGCACGCAGACGGGAACGGATTTTGAAGGGTGGGTGAGCGACCCAGCGTGGTGGAAGAAGGTGGACTTCTTTGTGCAGCTGATGGAGTTGTTCTACAGCGTGATGCGGAGGACGGACTCAGCGGCGAAGGGGATGATGGGTCAGCTTTACGACATAATGCTGCAGCTGACGGAGGAGGTGGATAAGATGCTGGATGGGAGGGAGTGTAAGCTGAGCAGGGCGGATAAGGAGAAGGTGAGGGAGCATTTGAGGAAGCGGTGGGATGAGAGCCTGGCATGCCCCCTCCACGTGGCAGGCCGGATCTTGAACCCGACCAACCAGGAGGAGGGGATTTTCCTACAGGATCCGGAGTGCATCAAGGTCATGCAGGACTGGTTGGAGCGCAAGCAGCTCTTCGTAGACAGATACTGGGGGAAGGCGCGCGGCAAGAAGGGACCGGTGCGGCCGCTGCACGAGGGTGTGACGGCCTACATCAACGGCGCTGGGAAATTCGGCTCGGACACTGCGACCGAGGGGCGTAAAAAGATTCAGTTGGGGGAGGGGAACGTGATGCTGTGGTGGCAGTACAATGGATAGGGACCGGTGCGGCCGCTGCACGAGGGTGTGACGGCCTACATCAACGGCGCTGGGAAATTCGGCTCGGACACTGCGACCGAGGGGCGTAAAAAGATTCAGTTGGGGGAGGGGAACGTGATGCTGTGGTGGCAGTACAATGGATGGGAGTACCTTGACCTGTCCCGTCTTGCACGCCGCACGCTTTCCCAGACCGTTTCCGCTTCCCCGTGTGAGCGTAACTGGTCTACTTGGGATGGCGTGCATACGGCGCGCAGGAACCGCCTCGGGTCGGAGAAGGTCCGCGACCTTGTGTACATCGCGCACAACTGGAATGTTGTGCGCGATGTCCACAAGGGTGCGGATGACGCAGGGCCTAGTGTGGTGGGAAGGAAGGGGGCGGTGTTGGAGGGGAACATCACCCCCCCTCCCCTCCCCGAGGGGTACAAATTGGAGGAGGATGAGGAGGTGGACGCGGACGAGGACGCCGTGTGCGTCGATGAGTGGGAGGGGCAGGAGGACGAGGATGAGGAGGAGGAGGAGGAGGAGGAGGAGGAGGAGGAGGAGGAGGAGGAGGAGGAGGAGGAGGAGGAGGAGGAGGAGGAGGAGGAGGAGGAGGAGGAGGAGGAGGAGGAGGAGGAGGAGGAGGAGGAGTAGGAGGAGGAGAGGGAGAGAGGTAGGAGGAGACCTAGTGATTGGACGGATGTAGTAGTAGCTATTTATATCATGTTTGCTACTACTAGGAAGACGTCAGTACCTCATTATGATTGATGGTAAATGATGATTTTTGTGAACTCTAATTAAGGGGAAAAAGTTTTGGTATGGCGGAAATTTGACCCAAATGTGCTATATATGCATGTACCCCACCCTCCCCATGGTCCTGAGAAGTTTTTTTAGGCTGCCCGAACTTTTTTTTAGGGCCTGCCCGGGTTTCCGTCTAATCTGCGTCTAACCTAGGCGAAAATGCGTCTAGCGTCTTAGACGCTGCGTCTAGACGCAACCGTCTAAGACGCTAGACGCGTCTTCCGTCACATAGGTTGATGTAGGTTGTACCCATCTCCTTGTCCCAATCACCTCCCTAAGGCCACTAGAGAAAGAGAAAACGAGCCGGGGTGGAATTCGGGTATTGCAGTCAGAGGGTTGTTGTGGTCACAATAGACTTCAATGTGACTTAAACGAAAGTTAGAGTGCACAGATGGGTTTCTGCAGGGCGGCTTCAAAACTTAATTGAGGACTGATGTCGTTCGTCTATATAATAAGTAACAAGTTTTATCTTTTGATTTCATAACAAAATGAGGACGCTATGAAAGTTTGAACGGACGAGTTGGGAACAGTCTAGCAACATTCATAGTCCTAGGATATGAACCCCATCGAGTTGGGAATGACTCACAGCCTTTACAACCCCAAAAGCCGAGATCCAGGGAGCTGGAACAGTGTCACACAGTCCTTAATCTCGAAAGGTTTGATAATACATGTTCAACAACCCATATCATATTTTGTCTGTCATTGATTGTTTTTCCCAGGCATGTTGAACCTGCTGCTGGAGACCCCTCTGGACAGCTCCCAGCAGGACTACGCGGAGACGGCGTGCAGCAGCGGGCGGGCGCTGTGTGCGCTGATCAACGACATTCTCGACCTCTCCAAGATCGAGGCCGAGAAGCTCCGCCTCGAGCGCATCCCCCTCAACCTGCGCGCCGAGCTCGACGACGTGTTAGCACTCTTTGTGGAGAGCGCTGAGGAGAATCGAGCGGTGGAGCTCGGCGCGTTTGTGGCGGATGATGTGCCCGAGACGCTACTTGGGGACCCGCTTCGAGTGAAGCAGGTGCGTGTAGTGCTGGAAGTACACACGAGCAAGAACCGAACACGAACCGTTTCAGGTCAAACCGGGTCAAACCTCATGATATGTCTTTCTTTCTCAGCACAGATACCACTGCGCTGATGTTTGCACTCGATCACTATGTCCGTTGCATTCATGGTGCGACCCTTGTTCACCCTGTGTGTGCGTCCGTGTGTGCTTATTTGTTTGCTGTCCTGTATTCAACAGATCCTCATCAATCTCATCGGCAACGCCCTCAAGTTCACCACCAAGGGCCATGTCTTCATTGCTGTGCGCCTCGCAACCCCCACCGACAGCACCAACCATGATGCCGGTGCCCCCCCGTCGCTGCTCTCAGCTGCCTCCTCCACATCCTCCTTGTCAACCCCATCATCACCATCACCGCCATCATCACCATCATCACCCCTCTCCAAAGAATCGCCCGCCAGGCGTCCCTCCCTTGCCAGTTGCTTCACCTGTGCAAACACCTGTAGGGGCGGGAAGGATGCAGCTGAGGCAGATGGGGCCACTGCTGAGGTAGATGGGAGGAGCGGTGCTGCTGGTGGCGACAGTGAAACTCATGATGACGGTGACACTTGTGGCAGCAATGGCACTCGTGTCAGCAATGGCGCCAGTGCCGACGCTGGTACTCGTGACATCGATAACTCCGGTGCGGATAGAGGCACTATCGGTGGCAGCAGGCCTGTTGAGCGTGCTTCCTCTGACCCTGGGTGTCTGACACTGAGTGGCCGGCCAGCAGTGCAGTCGTGGTGTTCATGGGAGGCCATGAGGGAGCACATGGACCTTGCTGCAGTGGGCATGCCGAATCGTACTTGTCATGCCTGCCATGGCATCGTGCCTCCCGACCAGCCTGTGCGCCTGATGGTGGCTGTGGAAGACACTGGTACGTACGACGACTGCACCTGTGATCTCACCATGCTATGAGACCGTTGTTCATGTTGTGAGATATGTCACAACACACGCTTTCGAGCTTTCATGTGCCCCCTCCCATACCCCCACAAACGGTCCAGGTCCTATTTTGAAATCACTTTTAAAAACCACCTACAACCCCATACCCCAGCAAACGGTCCTGGTCCTATTCCTCCACCTATTGTGCTCCTATGCTCGTTCTTACTGCAGGTAGCGGCATCCCCCGCCACGCTCGGAGGCACATCTTCCGGCCGTACACACAGGCAGAGCGCAGCACGGCACGGCTGCATGGCGGCACAGGCATCGGCCTCTCCATCTGCAAGGTGGGTTTCTATGAGAGTGTGTCATTGGATTGAATGTGTCAAGTTGGGCTTTAAGGTGCGTTGCACCGGCCTCTCCATCTGCAAGGTGCGTTGCGTTGTTCGGGATCGTACATTACCATCCTTCTTCTGCTGCCCATGTCCCTCCGTTTTTGAGTCAACTCAAAAGCAAACACATTACTATCCTCCTTTTGCTGCCCATATCCTTCTATTTCCCCTCATACCACACCCCTACCTTGCCCCTCCCACTCGCCCATGTGAGCAGCGCCTGGTGTCACTGATGGGCGGATCCATCTCCTTTGTCTCAAAGCCAGGCGTCGGCACCACCTTCCTCTTCGATATCCTCCTCCACACACCCCCTCTCCTCCACGCACCCCCTCTCCCTCACCCTCCTCCCTCCCCTCCTCATCCGTCCCAACCCCACGCTCCTCCCAGAACCAACACTCCCTCCCAAACCAGCACTTCTCCTCACGCCCCTGTCCCACCTGCCCCTTCTCTCTCACTCCCCCCGCCCCTGCTTACTGCATCCCCAACCTCTTCGCATTCCCCCGCCGCTCCCCCTGCCACACCCTCTGCCACTCCCTCTGCCCGTGCGTGCATCTCTTCTCCTCTTCCTCGAAGCTCCTGCAACGTGCCCCTACAAGACACAGGCAACCAGAAGCAACAGCAGGAGGCAGCATGTGGGTTAGAGGGAGTGTGTGTGGTGAGAGGTGGGAGTGGTGGGAGTGGTGGGAGTGGTGGGAGTGGTGGGAGGGCGGCGGGTGCACCAGAAGGCGTGTGTGCGGTGAGTGGTGTGAGTGGTGGGAGGAAAGCATGCGTGCTAGACGGTGTGTGTGTGGTGAGTGTGGACGACCGGGCGGTGCGGCATGCTGTCACTCTCTCTCTGCTGCGCCGCCTTGGCTTCTGCACCCTCCCCTGCCCCTCCTTCCACCTCCTCCCCCGCCTCCTCGCCCAACACCACTCCTTGCACCATGCCATGCACCATGGCTTGTGTGATGCCATGCACCATAGCTCATGTGATGCCATGCACCATAGCTCATGTGATGCCATGCACCATAGCTCATGTGATGCCATGCACCATAGCTCATGTGATGCCATGCACCATAGCTCATGTGATGCCATGGGCCATGGTTCATCTGGTCATGCCATGCACCATGCGGAGCAGGAGCAGGAGCAGGAGCAGGAGCAGGAGCAGGAGCAGGAGCAGGAGCAGGAGCAGGAGCAGGAGCAGGAGCAGGAGCAGGAGCAGGAGCAGGAGCAGGAGCAGGAGCAGGAGCAGGAGCAGGAGCAGGAGCAGGAGCAGGAGCAGGGGCAGGAGCAGGAGCAGCAGCTTCCCTGCGCACAAACCAACACAGGACCTATCAGCAACCACTCATGTCCTCCTCCCAAGCCTCGTCTCGAGCCGTTGTTGAGTCATCCTAACGAGCCTCCTCTCGAGCCGTTTGGCTCGCCGGCTGTTCTTGTGGCTCCTTTCTCCTTCCGCCCCTCTGCCTCCACCCCCTCTGCCTCCTCCGACCGTTGCTCCCCTCTCCCTCTCGCTCCTCTTTCCCGCCAGTCCTCCTGCCCTCCTCTTTCAGTCACTGCCTGCTCTTCCGGCAAGAATGGCGGGAGTGGAAGGGAGGAGGAGTGGCAGCGGCATGAGCGGCAGCAGCAGGAGGAAGAGGGGGAGGAGGAGGAGGGGGGGTTGGAAGGAGAGGAGGTGGATGGTGAAAGGGGGACACAGCAGCGGGTGCACTATAAGAGCTTGAGCAAGGCAGAAAGGCGGGGATGGGTGGGGGCGGTGGTGGTGGAGGGAGAAATGATGCAGCGGCTGGGCGTCTCAGCAGATCAAATCCATTCTCTCTTGACGGACCAAGGGGGGGTTGGGTCCGGCGAACCAATGAGCGAGAAAGAGCAGATGAGTACGGACGAGCACGCGAGTGAGAGAGAGCAGACGAGCGTGGGAGGGCACGTAACTGGGGGTAGGGAGGAAGGTGCGGAGATGACAAGGGAGGGATTGGGCAGGTGTGCAGTAGAGGATAAGCAGCAAGGCAGCGAGTACAGCGAGTGCAGCAAGAGCAGTAACTGTGGAAGATGGCCTGATCAGCCCGTTCCATCCAGTTGGCCCGTCCCCTTCCTTGTGCTCCTGCACGGCTCCCTCTCCCTCTCACCCACCTCTCTTGCCGAAGGCCTTTCCGCGGCCAACAGCTTCAGTCTTTACGAGAGGGATGCTTATAAAGGGGACAGATCTCCCCATGAGCCTGATTCGCACGGTCACGGGGAGGTCAGCTGTGAGTTGGCACAGAGTGGGAGGGGCGGAGGGCGGAGCAGGGACAAGAGTAGGGACAGGAGGGACGGGAACAGGGACAAGAGCACGGACAGGAGTAGGGACAGTAGCAGGAGAAGCGGATGTAAGAGCAAGGAGAGGGGCGGAAAGGCTGAAAGAGGGGATGCAAGCGTGATGGGGGGGTATTGTGGGTGTAAGCAGGGTGACTGTAACGATGTGACAAGGGGCTGCCGAGGCAGCAGCACCAGCAGGAGCAGGTCGCCTGCGCCCTCCCTCTCGCCCTCCCCGTCCATCCCCTCGCTATTGTCACTTGGCTTTGATGCTGTTGTGAGAAAACCGCTACGGAAACCGGCATTGCTGGCAGCACTTCAGCCGTTGTTTGCTGTGGGCACGGAGCAAGGTGAGTGTGCAGGGGAGGGTGAAGGAGCAGGAGGCAGAGGCAAGGACAAGGATGCAGCACAGGGAGGGGTGAGGGTGAGAGACGAAGGTCATGCTGTGGGAACAAGTTCTTTAGTGAGGTTCAGCCAAGATCCTTCCCACCAGCAGCAGCAGCAGAAGCAGGTCTCAAAAGGTTGCCCACACGTACGCCATCGCCCTGTCAGTATAGATTGTAGTGACAGTATCAATCGACATGGGCAGAGGCAGTGGGGCAGTGCCGCATTGGAGCTAGTGAGCCCATCGGCCCTCCACAAGGCAGGTAGCAGCGCTGCAGCGGCTCTCTGCCGAGCTGTGACGTCCCCCCGGGCACTCACGTCCCCAGAATCCCTTAAATCCCCTCAGTCGCTCGATCCCCCCCACTCGTTTAAGTTGCGCCGATCTCACTCTCCCACCACTCCCACCACTCCTGCTTCTGACTCGGCCAAATCCAAAGCTGCTAGCCCCGTGGCACCACGAAACACATCACCCAATGCCAACACTGGCTGTGTTACCTCTCCACCAGGGAAAGTGCTGGTGGTGTGTGAGGAGGAGGAGGCATCGCTCGAAGAACAGCAGCAGCAGCAGCAGCAGCAGGGCATGGATGGCAACAGTGCCTCCCTGGTGAACCGATCTGCTTCCCTCGAGCACCTGATTGCACCTGCTGCAACCGCACCTGCTGCTGCTGCTCCTGCTGCTTCGACAGGTCTGGCATCGGTTGCTGTTGCAGCAGGTGGAGGTGGTAAGGTGACAGGAGGCAGGACCCTTGGGAGAGGCACCAGTGACGGGGAAGCACCTGGTTTGGGTGAAAGGAAGGCGTGGGTGCAAGGGTCAGCAGGCGAGAGGAGAGGAGCTGGGCGGTCCCGTGCAAGGCAGAGTGATAAGAGGAAAAGCACAAACACCAGAGGTGCTGGTGGCAGTGATGGTGCTGCTGCTTCTGCTGCTGGTGGTGGTGGTGGTGGCAGAGTGAGTGGGTTTGAGAGTGTGCTGGACTTTGCAGGGTTTTCTCCCGCTACTTCAGCTTCCTCGGTTGGCACACTTTCCCCTGCCCTTACAACCTTTGAGGCGCCTCAAAAGTCTTTATCCGTTGGGACTCTATCGCCTGCTCTTACATCTGTTGAAGGGCCTCAAAAGTGTTTATCGGTTGGCACACTGTCGCCTGCCCTTACACGCACACCGTCACCATCATTCTCACCAACCCCAGCTCCCGCCACACCACCACCAGCATTCCCAACAGCAGCACCGCCAGCAGCCCCAGCAGCGGCAGCAGTGGCTCAAGAGCCGGCAACTGTTGGGGAGAGGTTGAGCGTGCTTTCAGGTCGGCGGGTGATGGTGGTGGATGACAACGTGGTGAACCGCAAGGTGGCCAGCAAGCTGCTGGAGAGGCACGGCGCGCGAGTCACCGCCGTCGATGGCGGCGCCAAGGCCCTTCAAGCCCTTGCTCCGCCCCACCCCTTCGAGCTGGTTTTTATGGACCTCCAGGTAAGAGGAAGAGCGAAGCACCCACACTACCCCTTCCATCTCGTCTTTATGGACCTCCAGCTGAGGCGAGGAGGCGAGGGAAAGATGTGTGTCAGGGTGGCAGATCAATCATCATCTTCGTCTCAACCTCCCTTATTTTTCCCCTACTCCCCGTGCAGATGCCGGGCATGGATGGGCTGGAGGCGACTCGGAGGATCCGGGCGCGGGAGAGGGCTGAGGGCGGGGGGCATGTGGCCATCATTGCGCTCACAGCGGATGTGATTGCCGGCACGCGCCAGCAGTGCTTTGCCGTCGGCATGGATGACTACCTCTCCAAACCCCTTGACGACGGCCCCCTCTCCCACGCTGTCTGGCGCTGCCTCGCGAATACATGATCACTCACGCATACTAACACAATCGTTGGCCTGACAACATTTATCAAATAATTATCATTCATATATTTTTCATAAAATTTCTAGCAAGGTGCCATATATCCTTTTCCAGCCGAAAGTATCAACCGCCAGAATTCAGACCTAATGTGATTGTTATACCGAAGCTGATTATGGCGGATATCTGCTTGCTGCTGTCGAGCTGTTAGGTTTGGCTGACAGCGAAGAATACGAAGTCCATTCCCAGATGGTTTCGCGCGAGACGCGGTGCCAGGAACCCACAAGTGCGGGTAACCCCCATATGGCATTGTTGTTTAGTACGATAATAGGGTCTTCACATAGTTCTAGTCAGGTATAAAACGTTCACGCGCGGTTCTGCGAGGCCATTCAGGTCGTGTCGCGGTGACCATACACGATGACGTGATTTGCGGCAGCAGATATTGAACAGATTTCTCCTGAGTGCTTTTGTACGGTCTGCCTTAGGCACATGTGGCGGTGAGGCTAGGAGGAGCATCATGATTCAGGAGAAAAGAGACGACAAGCGAAGCAACACCAAGGAGCGTGTCCTGGCTCAGCATCCGAGTCACTTTGTCATGTCAGTACCGAAGCGCTATAAAGCGCCTTGTTTTTCCCGAGATGTTTTCATTTGTTTCACTCCACTTAAGACTCTCCATTTTCTATGGGACTCAGGGTAGACGCGCTACGATAGAACTACTTCCCATCAGCCATGGCCCACGCGTCACTGCGACCTGCTTTCGTCCTCGCTGGTGCGTATCCGCTTTCTTAATCTGACTGCCGTTGGTCCTTGCTACTAAGAAGCCCCAGATGTCCTGGAAGTGACTCTTGGGACGGTTTCAGGCTGGGTTTAGGCAGGCTAGGTGACGCTTTCGTGTCAGATCCGGGGTTGCAACATTTTGCAGATACAACCACGTTTCGTAAAAACGGTTGTGATATTTTTTTACTCCTAATAATAACCTTTTGTTTTTGTTTTTTTCCTCGCGCGTCTCTCTCCCATCGTGGCAGTGCTGCTCTCACTTACCTGCAGTGCCATCGCCTCCTTCCGCCCGACTCCAAAGTCCCTGGAGTGGGACTACGTAGACACAGCTCTGTCCATATGGAAATGTATGCGTCCAACCTGCTCTCTCTCAGTTGAAGTTATGTTTTTTAGAAATTTCAAAATAGCTCCCTGTGAGGACTATGAAGGCACCGTTCTCAGTCCTTACGGAAATGTATGTCCAACCTGCTCTCTCTCTCTCTCCAACCTGCTCTCTCTCTCTCTCTCTCCAACCTGCTCTCTCTCAGTTTGACACACATACATCTCAGCCTGAGATCTCTTTCGCACAGGCTCATCACAATGCTCTTCGTTATCTGATGATGATAAAGAGTCTTCGACCCGTTCCCCTGGCTTTTTCTCCCTCTCCCTGCTCATTTCTTTCGCGTGCGCAGACCAAGCCTCATCGACGCTTTCTTCGAAAACGGGTGGTTTGACTGGCTCGTGCAACCTAAATTCTTCCGTGTAAGCGCCAAACTCCTTGATAACTCACCACTAATCTCATAGCGTTTGATTGCTTGCTCCGTTGGAACCCCGCTGGTTATCGTATATCACGATTACTATTTGTTTTATCTCATCCACGTTATCATGCTGAATTATGTGCAAAAAAGAGGCGCCGCGTTAGAAGAAGGCGCCTCCTCCAGGGGAGCATGGATCTTTTGGATTGCACCAGCAGGACCGACTCTATCATTGTACCATGTGCCTCAAATCTGCCTGTCATTCCAACCTCTCCCTTCCCCCCTCGCCCCTCCCCCTCCGTCTCTCCCCTCTCCCTTCTCCCCTCGCTTATTACAGCACGGTCACTACCCAAACTACCTCGATGGTCGTCCGCATTATGGGTGCCAAAGGAGCGACCGCCGCATCGTTCTCCCCTCCCAGCTACTACAGGAACAGCACTAGGTCTTTTGTGGCCCAGTTCCCATGCACCTTTCAAGCAGAAGCAACAAGCGGCAACTGGAACTGCACCATAAACGCATCAGATCAACTCAAAAAGTTTGAGCCTTTACAGCCAATCGGCACTATCAAGACATTAGTTGACGCTGGGGTGTTCAAGAAACCCACAGACTTCTATGTTGTGGTTAAGGTTTCCAGCGTGGCGGTGCAGGGATCAATAACCGCAAGTGCGAAGGCCTACTGACACATGGCATTTCGACAGGCGGCATTCTCTAGCATCTACCGTATGTTGCCAGTGACACGAATTTCCACGTATAGGCTCGTAGGTTTTGGGCTGTTGATGATTGTCCAATCTGTGGTTACTGTTGTATTGAAGGCCTGCAGTGAGTGACTCTCTTGTACCCATGTCTAGAAGCTCCACTTTCTTTGAGACTCATGTATCCATGTATGGGGATAATTTTCATTGTTACATCCAAAGACTTTCTACCAGCAGAGGCTGCAGGCTGGAGGTCCCTACCACCCTCTCTCACCTCACCACCATGTCAGAATGTTGTAATTGTCTAGCCTGCAGTGGGGTACTCTATAGCGAGTACAACCCAAATTAGGGTTTCCTATATGTACCTTGCATGCTGCTAGTACAACCCCTCTTCTCTGTTCTATCTTTCGTCCTACCATCTCGATATGGTAACAGAGCGTTCACGCTCCTGGCCTGTGGGCCCCACTGCTGCTTCCGCTGCCCTACTCTGTGTCGCGCGCCCCGTGGCGCGCGACCTTCACATTTTCATCCCGCCGCGCGCTCGGGGCGTGCGGCGGTTTTCTCCCCGCCGTGCGCACCGAGGCGCACGGCGGTTTCCTACCGTGGGGGACGCCCGCGGCCCCCCGATCCCGTCGCCCGCGGCCCCGCGATCCCGTCGCCCTGGGGAGCCGCACGCGACCCCCCGCGGCCCCGTTTTCCCGTCGTGCCGCCCTGGGGAGCCGCGCGCGACCCCCCGCGGCCCCGATTTCCCGTCGTGCCGCCCTGGGGAGCCGCGCGCGACCCCCCGCGGCCCCGATTTCCCGTCGTGCCGCCCTGGGGAGCCGCGCGCGACCCCCCGCGGCCCCGATTTCCCGTCGTGCCGCCCTGGGGAGCCGCGCGCGACCCCCCCGCGGCCCCGATTTCCCGTCGCGCCGCCCTGGGGAGCCGCGCGCGGCCCCTCGCTGCCCCGTGGTCGCGTTCTGGGGGCCGAGCGCCGTCCCCCTCGCCGTCCCCCGCGCTCCTTCCCCCGTTCCGCCCGTTTTTAGGGTTTGGGGGTGCGGAGTGTGGGGGTGGCAGCTCTGGGGGTGCCGTGTGTGTGCGCCGTCCCCTGCTCCTCCTCCTCCTCCGTCTCCCACTGCTGCAGCTGCCGCTGAGGGGGGTGGATGTGTGGGAGCCGAGGTTTAGGGTTTAAGGGGGGTGCCGTGGAAGTGGAGCTAGGGTGTCAGCAGGGGGTGTGTGAGAGGGGCGTGGGACGGTCGGGGGAGGTTGCGTGGAAGTAGCCGTCGTGACGCCAGCAGCGCCAGTAGTCCGGATGCCCTCGCGCGTTTCGGTAGCCCAGCGAGCCTGCTTCGCCAGTTGCCTGTGGGTCAGTTGCTCCTGTGTGTGCTCGTCGTAGCCGCGGAGCCAGATACTCCCGTAGTCCGGTGCCCTCGTGCGCTCGGTAGCCACTGTGCACGCCGCTCCTGTTGCCCGTTGTGTCTGCAGCAGATCGCCCCTCACAGTCTCTCCTCCTCCTCACTTGCCCTCTGTGACTGCCTCTAGCTTTACTTGCATTTGTGGACTTGATCTATGACTGGTTATTTGCGCTGATTACACCCCACTTTGGCTATGGGGGTGTGTCAGAATGTTGTAATTGTCTAGCCTGCAGTGGGGTACTCTATAGCGAGTACAACCCAAATTAGGGTTTCCTATATGTACCTTGCATGCTGCTAGTACAACCCCTCTTCTCTGTTCTATCTTTCGTCCTACCATCTCGATACACCATCGCCCACTGCCTCTCGATCCTCTCTCCTCTGAAGTGCTGCCACTTTCTGCTTCAACTGAAGCAACCACATATGATGTGCTATCGTGTGTTGGTCAGTGTCCGAGTTATGTTATTATAACTGCATACAAGTCTAGCTATAAGTATAATGGTGTTACATTTCTGTTAGGTGGTGCACCTCTTGGTTGTTCCTTGTATAACTCTCTCGTCACTTCTCAATGTCAGCCCTCTTTTGGCCAACTCTCTCTCCTAAACCCTAGTCTCTACTAGCTACTATTTTAACATGCTATCAGAGCCTATGACGGTCTAAGGACCTCGTTTCTCTTAAAGATAATGGGCCCGCCTATACTAAAGCGCGAAATGCGCCATTTCTTTTCCGTCCGCCCGTCCGCGCGCGCTCTGCCCTGCCCGTCCGCACGCTCGTTTCCCCCCGTTCCCGTCGCCCGCGGCCCCCCGTTCCCGTCGCCCGGTTCCCGTCGCCCGCGGCCCCCCGTTCCCGTCGCCCGCGGCCCCCCGTTCCCGTCGCCCGCGGCCCCCCGTTCCCGTCGCCCGCGGCCCCCCGTTCCCGTCGCCCGCGGCCCCCGTTTCGTCGCCCCGCGCCCTGTCAAACATATATGCTGCATATTGTCTAGGCTGTAGTGGGGTAGCCCATATGGGGTACAGCCCAATTAGGGTTTACTACTTGTACTCCTGCATGCTGCTAGTTCATCATTCCTGCTGCTAGATTCTGACATGGTTTCAGAGCACTAAGGTCCGTAGGACCGTTTTTTTTTTTTTTTCGGGCCCACCTACCGCTGCGGTTACCGCGCTACCCCACGTACCTGCCTGCCTTGCCTTGCCTTGTGACGTGCTGCACTATGTGCGCCGTCCAGCAGCCCTAGCGCTGCCTCCTGCTGCCCTAGGCCAGCGCGCTGCCCCTAGAGGCCCGTAAGGCCCACGCGCCGCCCCTAGAGGCCCGTAAGGCCCGCGCAGCCCGCTGCAGCCGCGCGCAGCCCGCACAGAGCCCGCGCAGCCCGCGCCGAGCCGCGCGCAGCCCGCTGCAGCCGCGCGCAGCCCGCACAGAGCCCACGCAGCCCGCGCCGAGCCGCGCACAGCCCGCTGCAGCCGCGCGCAGCCCGCACCGAGCCGCGCGCAGCCCGCTGCAGCCGCGCGCAGCCCGCAGCTGCCGCGCGCAGCCCGCGCCGAGCCCACGCAGCCCGCGTCGAGCCGCGCGCGGCCTGCTACGGCCTCGCGAGGCCCGCGCGCGGCCCGCAGCAGCCCGCGCCGAGCCGCGCGCGGCCTGCTACTGCCTCGCGCGGCCCGCGCGCGGCCCGCAACAGCCCGCGCCGAGCCGCGCGCGGCCCGCTACTGCCTAGCGCGGCCGCGCGCGGCCTGCAGCAGCTCAGCGCGCTGTCAGCGCAGCCCGCGCCGAGCCGCGCGCGGCCCTCTGCCTCGGCCACGACCTGCCGCTGATGCGGCCCCGCCCTGCAGCTACCACGGCCCCGACCTGCCGCTGATGCGGCCCCGCCCTGCAGCTGCCACGGCCCCGACCTGCCGCTGACGCGGCCCCACCCTGCTACTGCCGCTGAAGCGGCCCCGCCCTGCAGCTGCTTCGGCCCTGCTCTGCAGCCGGTTTTGCGGCCCCGACGCCGCCGCTGTCGTGCGCCTACTCGGCCGCCGCCCGTCGAGCGCCGGCCCTGCTCGCCCGGTGAGCGCCTGCTCTCCCAGCCTTTGGTGAGCGCCTGCCTGCCTGCCTGACGGCCTGCCTGTCTGCCTGCCTGCCTGCCGGCCTGGCTGCCTGCCTGCCTGCCCGCCTGCCTGCCTGCCTGCCGGCCTGCCTGTCTGTCTGCTTGCCTGCCTGCCTGCCTGCCTGTCTGCCTGCCTGGCTGCCTGCCTGCCTGCCGGCCTGCCTGCCTGCCTGCTTGCCTGCCTGCCTGCCGCGCCTGCCTTGCCCGCGCTACTGCTGCTGCTACTGCTACTGGCAGGTGGCCAGATGCAGCTCCAGCGACGTTCACGCGAGCCTCTGACGCCCCAGCAGCTTAGTGAGTGGTATACTAGCTGGGGTTGTCGCAGTAGCCGTCGTAGCTGTCGCCCTGGAGCTGGTCAGTTGGGAGCGTCTGGCAGTGGCCAGCTGCAGCTGCAGGGGCGTCCACGTGAGACACTTACGCCCCGGCAGCTCCAGGAGTGGTACGCTCAGTGTAGCAGGTCTACGCGTACAGTTCGCTGCCCGTACGTCATTCGCACAGGTGCTAGGACTGGTCAGCCTTGTGGGACGCTTGGTCACACACAGTCCCGCTGCTTCGCCCGTCTGAGCGACGACTGGCGCACAGTGTTTGGCGACGAGGCTGAGCTCCCCACCTGGCTGGAGCTGCATGGACAGAGGGTAGATATCTTTGCGCTTGACTATGATGCTATTCTCACTGCCATGTATGCATTGCCTACTAGTGCTGATCGTGCCTGTTATCTGTGCGTACCGCCTGACCCTGGTGAGGCTGCTGCTCTCGGTGCTAGTACGTCTACTGCTCTAGGTACTGGTGAGGCCGTGGCTTCAGGTGCTGGTGAGTCTGCTCTCTCTGGTACTGCGCCAACTACGGTCTCGCACACCTTCACCCTTGACTCAGGAGCTTCCCGCTCCTTCTTTCGCGACTGCACCACACTCACGCCGCTTAGTCGGCCAGTTCCAGTCTCCCTGGCGGACCCCTCCGGGGGTCCAGTCCTTGCCCACTACTCCACGGTTCTGCCGTGTCCGGCCGTCCCGTCCGGCTCGCTGTCAGGTCTTTACCTCCCCTCGTTCTCTACGAACTTGGTGAGTGGAGCTGACCTCCAGGATCGGGAGGTTGACCAGTTCACTCCTGCGAGTCAGCGAGTGACTCACTGTACGTGTGCTAGGACGGGCCGGCACTTGGCCACGTTCACCCGTGCACCTGGCTCGAGTCTGTACACACTGACCACTGAGTCCCCTCAGGTAGCTGCGTCTGCGTCTACGTCTGGTCAGCTGGCGGCCCCCTGCGAGTGTCGCGCTTTGTCGCA